AGACACACCCAAACAGAAGTATTTTAAATTGTTTTAACTTATATAACATTATTATACCCAATCATTTCATAAGTTTTGGAACTTCTCGATGAGGACTTCTATTTGCATATACAATTGTGTTGGAACTCAAAGTATTAGGCAATTTAAAATATTTCTTTGTATCAGCGTTCCAATGACATGCTTCCTTTAATATGACTAGATTCAAATGCTGTAGAATAAGTCTCCATTTTTATTTGTTTTTGTTTGTTTGCTTTCGTTTTAAAGTATATGCTAAGGAATCATAGAATGCTTAAGGTTGGAAGGGACCTCTAGAGATCATCTAGTCCAACCCCCTGCACACGCAGAGTCACCTAGAGCACGTGGCACAGGACTGCATCCAAGCGGGTTTTGAAGATCTCCAGAGAAGGAGACTCCACAACCTCTCTGGGCAGCCTGTTCCAGGGCTCTGTCACCCTCACTGTTAAGAAATTTTTCCTTAAGTTCATGTGGAACTTTTGGTGCTTCAGTTCGTGGCCGTTACCTCTAGTTCTGAAAAGCTAAGTAACGAGGAAAAGTAATGGAAAAGGAAAAGTAATGATTGTTATTTTTCAACTAGAAAAACTTGCTACAAAAAAAAATTGTGTTTGGAAATAGAACTGAAGAAAGCAAATCATTTTAGTTGTGGCTATCTCCCCTTTTTTTTTTTTTTTTTTTTGAAAGGCAATTTTAAATTCTTATCTTCACAGACTCTCTAAGAAGCAGAGGAAGGAATAGAAAGCAATGATGGTATGGAGTCAGAGAAAACAAAATTCAGGGAACTTTGCAACTTGGTTTTGTTGTCTCCTAACTTTTTTTTTTTGTCATAAAAACAGATAATTTGAAATTATATAGAACTTCTGGAAAATGTTTAGATATTTTTAATTCATTCTTGAGTGATGAATGATTTATTATATTTATTATTATCATGATATTTTGTAATAATCAAACTTCATTATACTAGGATCTGTACAAACAGAACAAACGTGGTGCTTGCCCCAAAAAGCTTATGTATAAGGAAAAAGAGAACAGGTAGAAACAGAGATGGGGAGAATAAAACAAACTGATCAGAAAGTCAGTCAGTGGTCTCGGTGCATTAGCAGCTTAAGTGTTTGTTTTTCAATTTTCTGTTTTTCTGTTGCTTAACTTAGGGCATTACAGACAATAAATTATGATACTAACTTAAAGGGTATCCTGTCAATACTCCATAGTTGGAAGCAACACATCCATTCCACCCTATCACTTGAATTGTAGACAGCAGCGATGCCAGTCTGTGGTGCTCCAGGGCCTGTGTTTTTCTGTGATGTGACAGCTCTGTGCTGAAAGCAGGAGGCTGAGACTCGAGAATTAGGAGTTGTTCAGGCCTGAGTGGCAGGATTATCACAGTGGGCAAACTCGTCTCCCTCCCCCCCC